GGACGCGTGGTAATTTGGACGCGTGGTAGTTTGGACGCGTGGTAATTTGGACGCGTGGTAGTTTGGACGCGTGGTAATTTGGACGCGTGGTAGTTTGGACGCGTGGTAATTTGGACGCGTGGTAGTTTGGACGCGTGGTAATTTGGACGCGTGGTAGTTTGGACGCGTGGTAATTTGGACGCGTGGTAGTTTGGACGCGTGGTAATTTGGACGCGTGGTAGTTTGGACGCGTGGTAATTTGGACGCGTGGTAGTTTGGACGCGTGGTAATTTGGACGCGTGGTAGTTTGGACGCGTGGTAATTTGGACGCGTGGTAGTTTGGACGCGTGGTAATTTGGACGCGTGGTAGTTTGGACGCGTGGTAATTTGGACGCGTGGTAGTTTGGACGCGTGGTAATTTGGACGCGTGGTAGTTTGGACGCGTGGTAATTTGGACGCGTGGTAGTTTGGACGCGTCGTAGTTGGGACGCATGGTAGTTTGGACGCGTGGTATTGGGATGCGTGGTATTGGAACTTGTGGTATTGGGACGTGTCGTATTGGGACATATGGTATTGGGACGTGTGGTATTGGGACGTGTCAAATCATCACGTGTGGTATATGTAACACCCAGAATTTGGAATACGTGGTATTCATACGTGACGAATCGTTACACCTAATATAAAGACTTGAAGAATTATCACATATGGTATTTGCAACACATCGAATCCTCACATGTCTCGCAACCAACTTCACCAAATTGCAAATTCCTCTGACAATACAACGACCATTCAACTACAATTATTATAGAATTGCACCAGACAAAGTAAACTCTGAAAACAATCGACAAATCCACGATAATCCACATATGTAACTGACAGAAATATCGGCATACGTTTAAGCAGAATCCAAAAGTTTTGAAAGTGATATTCGGGCTACGAATAACGAAACACGTGGGTGGTGAACCTCTCCAGAGATGTCAAAACGTTGTGGATGCCCGATCGTACAATAGAATGATCCTTCAAAGATGTCGGAATCATTCAAGGGAAGCACTTGACTTGTCGTGTGCAATGAAATGACGCGGTTGGATGTCGGTTCATTGAAGCTGAAGAGCTTCAATAACGAGGAAAAACGAGGGGAGGTTTGGATTGCGATTCACTACCCGGTTCGGGTTCCATTTTATACTCTGATACAGATTTCATGAAGTTTTGAAGAGGAACTGTACAAAATATAATACGGTAGAAATAGAAAATTGTATGGGAGTCTGATACACTTCTGAGCCAACAGATGTTAGGTCATGGGAGGAGATCTTTACATTAGGTTTATATTAGGATACAGTGGGTTTGTGGAGTTATATCTGTGAAGTTAAAGTACAAGGCAATGGTGTTGTTACACATTATTACACATGTGTTATGTTACACATATGAATAATACACTTCGAATACATTTCTGAGCCAACAGATGTTAGGTCATGGGAGGAGATTTTTACACTGTAGGTTTGTGACGTTACATTTGTGATGTTGAAGTACAAGGCAGTGGTCTTGTTACACATTATTACACATGTGTTATGTTACACATATGAATAAAACACTTGTAATACATTTCTGAGCCAACAGATGTTAGGTCATGGGAGGAGACTTTTACACTGTAGGTTTGTGACGTTATATCTGTGATGTTGAAGTACAAGGCAGTGGTGTTGTTACACATTATTACACATGTGTTATGTTACACATATGAATAATACACTTCTAATACATTTCTGAGCCAACAGATGGGAAGAGATTTTTACGTTGTGAGTTTGTGACGTTATACCTGTGAAGTTGAAGTACAAGGCAATGGTGTCATTACACATTATTACACATGTGTTGTGTTACACATATTAATAATAGCACTACAGGTTGAAGTGCAATGTTTGACTAGGTTTTAGAGTACAATACAGTTATCAATACTGAAACTGTGTTTTCTGTGAATAAGTGTTCTTTAATGTTACTGACACATCAGTTATTGCTTCAATAACGTACTACACTTGTAACAAATCTTGCCCTTAAAATATTACTAACATCATGTTTCCAGTATACAAGCTTCCGTATAAACTTCTAAACACCCCTAAATTTATGCAAAAATGTTCACGATTGACCCCGACTTCCTCTCGAGTTAAAAAGTTTACGAACTCGTTTAGCTGTATAAAAGTTGTAAGCCTTAACGGAATACGTTTTTAAAAACCGCCGAAAGTTGGTGAAACTTATGGATGGAGGGGAACGAAGAAAGTTTCCGGTTATCGATGAAATCCGAAGGCTGGTAAAGAAAAATCAGCCTTTTCGAGATATACGTTACAAAAGGACACCATGAAATTGTGTAACTTGATATAGAAGCGGTCGGGCTTCGATCCAATGCTTTTTGTCCCAATAAAACGGTGGAATAAGAGAGAACCTTTCTTCGACTAAAAACCATTCTGTTCATATTCAGCGTTCGAAGAAATTCCCGCTCTCCGGTAGCGGTGATTTAAAGCGAACTTGAAAAACGCAGCTCCGAGGAACTGGGTCGTAATCGAAAATCTCTACGGGTCGTATCAGTTGCGGATGCAGGTTATCGAGGCAGAGCAAAGCCGACACTTATTCAAGCATCCGAGATGCAATCTTTTGAAATCGCATTTTCAGTTTTCGTTTCGCGTACCGGCTTCGCGAAATGGAGCTTTCGAGAGACTAAACAAGCATCCGTAAAGCTTTCTTCTAGTTCCTAGGGAATCTGCAGATTGTCCTCAGTCATATCCTTTTACCACGCAACCGAGGGATCATACGGTTTCTTCTCACGAAAAGAGATGTGCAAAAAAATACTGAAAGGACTTCCCGACTATTCTTCGCCATTTCCTTGAGAGGTCATCTCGAGATTCTTTCTCCGCTATGAATTGGAGAAATGTCTCAGTTTCCGTAGCATTCAAATTGCAGGACTTTGAAAGACAAATATAGGTTAATTCTTAATTCTTATATTTTCAGTTGTATTACATTTTTTTATTATTTTCAATTAAGTCAGTCTTTTAATTTCAAATTAATTATTAAAATTTCTTTCAAGCTCGTCTCAAAGAAAATGGGGTCAGCTTTGAATTTTAATAATAAATGTAGGTAGTTTCTGAATTTCTTTTTCAGTAATTTTTCCTTAGATCGATGTAATGTTATATTTAATCTTGCTCTTTATTTAATTATATTTTGTTTCTTCAGTTATATTACATTTTGTTCAAGCATTGGCTGTCATGACATTAACGAGACTTTTTATTGAACAGAGTGTACTTAAAAGTAACTGTCACATATGGTATTTGGGACGTGTGGTATTGGGGCGTGTGTAATCATCACATATGGTATTTGGGACGTGTGGTACTGGGACGTGTGGTATTGGGACGCGTGGTAGTTGGGACGCGTGGTAGTTGGGACGCGTGGTAGTTTGAAAGCGTGGTAGTTGGGACGTGTGGTAGTTTGGACGCGTGGTAATTGAACGCGTTTTAGTTGGTACGCGTGGTAGTTGGGACGCGTGGTATTTGGGACGCGTGGTATTTGG